AGAGGCAAATTTGATCAGATAGTCCATATATAAAAGTGTCTATTTTTTCTTGCCACTTGAGCTATGTATACAATTCTTTGGAAACAACTTTTCTTCAGAATTTTAAAGGCATTACTCCACTGACCTCTAAATTTTTGAGAAAATCAAAATTATTCTAATTTTTAAATTTACTTTTCTTGTCTAATTGCTCTAATTATACCTTCTAGTACATTCTGATTCCTAATCTTTTGTAAGTGGTCTGTAATTTCTTTTTTCCACCTGTTCTTAAAACTCAGCATTAAACCTTTTTTTGTCTTCAGTATTTTGAAATTTAATAGCAACTTTCTGTGACTCTACTTTCACCTAGTGTGTTGGACCTTCATTGGGCTGTTTCAAAATGGAAAATATTCTCTTTTGGTTTGGGAAAATTTTCTTGAGTCATTTCCTTGATAAATTCCTCCTCCCTATTTGTGTTGCTCTCTTTTTCTTAATTTTTTATTACTTTTATGTTGGACCTCCCGGACTGATCTGATATTCTTATCTTTCTTCTCTTCTTTTTAATCTCCCTCACTTTCTCCCCTCCTTCCTCCCTCCCTTCCCCCTCCCCTCCCTTCCCCTCTCTTCCTCTCCCCTCCCCTCCCCTCCCCTCTCCTCCCTTACCTCTCCCCTCCCCTGCCCTCCCCTTCCCACCTCATCCCTTTACCTTCCCTCCACTCCTTCTTTCCTATATTAGGCAATTGCAATCCAGGAATATCTGAGGCTGAATAATTTATAAGAAAAAGAGCTGTATTCTGGCTTACGGTGCAGCAGCCTATACTGAAACTGTGATGTTAGCATCTGCTTCTGGTGATGGCTTCAGGAAGCTTCCAATCATGGTAGAAGGTGAAAGGGAAATAAGTGCATCACATGGCAAAAGAGCGAGGAAGAAGTGCCAGACTCTTTTAAACAAACATATCTCATGTGAACTCACAGAGAGAACTCATTACTGCTAGGACACCATCAAGCATTCATGAGGTATTTGCCCTCCTGACCCTAACATCTCCCACCAGGCCCCCACCTCCAACATTGTGAATCACATTTTAACCTGAGACTTGGAGGGGACAAAACACCCAATTCATTTCCCTCCCTCCCTCCCTC